CTGCTGCTGCTGCTGCTGCTGCTGCTGCTGCTGATGATGATGATGATGATGACAAGCATCAACAGACCGCGAATGTGCCAAGAAGCAAGGAGTCTCACATAGGTGTGCCCAGGAACATGATGCAGTCCCACTCCGACATGTACATCATCTGTCCCTTCAGCTGTAGCAGATTGATCTGTGACGTCGTGCTCTCTGTGTCCTCCTTGTCTGGGGAACACACAACGCACACACATGTACAGCACACTTTAGAATGATGTACACACAACACATATACCGCACACACTAGTTGTACACACAATACTCATACAAGACACTAGTTGCACACACAATACTCATACAAGACACTAGTTGCACACACAACACTCATACAAGACACTAGTTGCACACACAATACTCATACAAGACACTAGTGGCACACACAATACTCATACAAGACAAGAGTTGTACACACAACACACTAGTTGTACACACGTTACTCATACAGCATACAAGTTGTGCACACTTTAAGATAAACTAGATTTAAGACACATATTACTTCGCTTGTGTCAACTCTCTCATTACACATTACTCTCCCCCAAGGGCAAACCTCCAGATGCCTAAACATTGACGAGCACCTGATTCCACCGTGTCGCAAACATAACATATTTGTGGAGTGTTTTAACCCAGCATATCATCAAAGAAATTCAAAGAAATAATGTTTGCAGGGAGCTATCACTCAACATAAAGTCAAAGATATTCAAACGAAATACAATTATGTATGATGCTACATTTCAAAGTTAAGTCAAAGATATACAAAAAAAATGAGTATAGGATGTTACATTTCAACGTTAAATCAAATATATTCAAAAAGATGTTTATAGGATGCTCTATTTTAACAAAAAGCCAAAAATATTTAAAAAGATGTTTATCGACGGCTATTTTCCAACGTAAAGTCAAAGGTAATTACAAGAAATATTTGCAGAGTGCAATATTTCCACAAAAAGTCGAAGATATTCTAAAGAAATGTTTATAGAACGCGATATTCCAACGCAAAGTCAAAGATATTGAAAAAGGAAATCTTTATAGAGAGCTATATTTCAACAAAAAGTCAAAAGATATTCCCAAAAATGTTTATAGAAAGCTATAATATTCCAACGCAAAGTCAAAAACATTCACAAAATGAATATTTCCCGTGTGTGGGAATCGTACTCATTCATGCCTTCCGCCCCCAGAGAAAACGGCAAAACTCAAAACATAAACGCCATTGAGGAATGAGTTGAAAGATTTATTGGAGCGTGCAATATGGACGTGGGATTATACACCGTGAGGTCATGACCAGCGGAAGTAATAATAATAATACGCCCCAGAAGCGTGCACGATACCCTATCGCCCTCTTTCGAAAACAAACAGAGGCTCTAAAGAGCGTTTGAAAGCAATGCTTGTATGCACTAAAAACGCACTGTATGCAAACACGCCTCATAATATGAACCAGATATAAAAAGGTCACCCGAACTCAGCTAAAGAGGTTTGCCCTGGGATGAGAGAAAATGTGTAATCAGGGGGCTGACACAAGCTAAGTAATCTCGTGGAATCATTATTCCCTCGCGACAGTACCTCGGGGAGTTCACGCGCTCGCTCGCGTTTGCTGGCTCTTCCACATTTGCCTAATTAGATTCCTAATTGCATCCAAAGTGACCCCAAATGCTAATGCTCTACGGCAGATGAAGCAGAACAGAAGAGAATATGCTCGCCTTATGGAACAGAAAGCGTGCCTGGATTTCAGTTCGAGTTTATGTTTCTGATTACAGCCTTCTTTTCAATTCCCCCAATTATAGATTCGTTGAAATGTTGTGTGGGTGGTTGGCGGGTGCTCTGGCGTTATTTGCTCCTTCTTTTCTATCAAACATCTATCGTCCTTATCTCTCCTCCTTCTTTTTTTGTGATTGTAACTCTCTTGTAACACATCTATTCTTCGGCACTTATATGACCTTATTGTGTTGCAAGTGCTGTAAAACTCTTATAAAACTGAAATGTTGTGCAATTTACTCTCCCACCATTTACGCCCCCATAAACTTAATTTAGATAATTTAGGACCCCGTCTTTGACCAAACCTTTCAGAGTGGGTGGTTGGCGGGTACTCTGGTGTGGTTTGCTTCTTCTTTCATATCAAACATCTATCGTCCTTATCTCCCCTTCTTCTTTTTTATATTTGTTACTCTCTTGTAACACGCCCTTAGTCTTCTGGCGCTCATATGACCTTATGCAGTTGCGAGCGCCGCAAAAACCTGAACTAAAAGTAAACTAAAAACCTGTCAGGGCCACCCCGGGTTCAAAGGGATACAGGGCAGTGCCACTGACTGAAGTGTCTTTAGGACATTCCCAAAGGGGGGACATTAACATGTTCGTATGCACAGTAGAATTGTAAATGGGCTGATTTATCAATGTCATGCTCATACTGTGCAGGAACAACAGAGGGGGGGACTGCTGCATTTTCTTTCCTCACCCTTACTATTGTCATTTTTCCTCTACTTCTTTAGTATGTTTGTAACTCTCTTGTGACCCGCTATTTCCGGGGTGCCTTGATAGCCGAAGCAGACTTTGTGCTGTTGAGGCTAGGGAGGTGAGCAGAGTAAGTCTGATTCCCGTTGGCGCTCATATGACCTTTTGCAGTTGCAAGTGCGAACACCCTTACTAAATCTAAAACTAAGAGGGATACAACATCCGAAATAACATAAGATCGGGCCACTGATAAAAATTTTCCCCACTCGGGAATCGGACTCGGGTCTCCTGTTTATAGAGGCGCCTCACGCTAACCGCTGCACCACACACGCCTCTTTGTTCAGTTTTTTTTGTTCGTTTGAGTAGGTGTTTTGCGGCACTATCGACTCAGTTTTGGTCTTTATATTGTTCAGTTGAGATTGTCCCTTATGAGCCCCGATCTGTGAGCACACAGCAGTAAGCATTTTAAAGATTATCTACTTTATAAATATTATTCCTATATTAGTAATATTACATTGTTTGATTGCTTGAAGACTTGCTGCCCTGAAGGACGAAATGAAGGGAGCATTTTGCAGAAGCAGGGAACAAAATGAGTTACTTGTCGCAGTCCACGAATGGAGACGTGGATCGAAAATACACACAAGAAATTTGTACATTTTGAACTGATCGATTTTTCTTTAAGTTTAATGTCTTTTATCATTCCATATGCAAAATTATATCAACCCAAACTATAACTTTGATATAATCTATTTGTGTCCATAAGGCCAGAATTCGAAAAGTAACTCATTTTGTCAGCATCCTTCACTAATGATTCGTTTAGTTTAGCTTAGCTATTCATGGTGATAGTGGTGATGGTAGTGATTGTGTAGATACGGTGATGGTAGTTGTTGTGTAGATACGGTGATGGTAGTGGCGGTGGTTGTAGTGGTTGTGTGGTCATGGTGATGGCAGTGGTTGTGATGGTAATGGCAGTGGCGGTGGTTGTAGTGGTTGTGTGGTCATGGTGATGGCAGTGGTTGTGATAGTAATGTCAGTGGCGGTGGTTGTGTGGTTAGGGTGATGGTAGTGGTTGTGTGGTCATGGTGATAGCGGTGGTTGTAGTGGTTGTGTGGTTACGTTGATGGTAGTGGTTGTGTGGTTAGGGTGATAGCGGTGGTTGTAGTGGTTGTGTGGTTACGTTGGTGGTAGTGGTTGTGTGGTTAGGGTGATGGTAGTGGTTGTGTGGTTACGGTGATGGTAGTGGCGGTGGTTGTAGTGATAGCGGTGGTTGTAGTGGTTGTGTGGTTACGGTGATGGTAGTGGTTGTGAAGGTAATGGCAGTGACGGTTGTTGTAGTGGTTGTAGTTGTAGCAGTGATGGTTGTGGTTGCGTTTATGGTGATGTTGATGGTTATGGTGTTGGTTGTGGTGATGGTTGTGGGGATGGTTGTGGTGGCAGGGATGGTTGTGGTGGTGATGGTAGTGTTGGTAGTGGTTGTAGTTATGGTGATGTCGTTGTGGTGATGGTAGTGTTGGTAGTGGTTGCAGTTATGGTGATGTTGTTGTGGTGATGGTAGTGTTGGTAGTGGTTGTAGTTATGGTGATGTTGTGGTGGTGATGGTAGTGTTGGTAGTGGTTGCAGTTATGGTGATGTTGTGGTGGTGATGGTAGTGTTGGTAGTGGTTGCAGTTATGGTGATGTTGTGGTGGTGATGGTAGTGTTGGTAGTGGTTGTAGTTATGGTGATGGATGTGGTTGTGATAATAGTAGTGTTGGTAGTGGTTGTAGTTATGGTGATGCTTGTAGTTGTGATATTTGATTTGATCCAAGGGAACTCCAGACTGGTATCATAAACGCCGCAGCAAAAACAATTTCCCTTTCGGAAGATCAGTAAATTCGCCGGGTCTGTCCGTCTTACTTTCCCACCCTTCCACATTCCCCTAATGCGGTTCCTAATGTTAACAAACCCCTTAGGCCCAACAGTTTAGTAAAATATCCCACAGGAAGAAAGACCGCCGATTTCACTAGCTTGTAGGCATACGTGAGGGAGCATTAGAAAATATCTATCTGTTGGTGTCACCACAACTTTAATAACATCACTTATATTATTGTCAAGGTTTGATTATTGCAATTCCTTACTGGCTGGTGTACCTGATGAACAGTTACAACAACTACAAGGAGTACAAAAAATTGCTGCCAAAATAATTACTAAAAAACTAAAACATGATCATGTGACTCCTATTTTAAAAGCATTACACTGGCTCCCAGTGAAAGAGCGTATCATATATAAAATCTGTTTAACTTGCTACAAGTGCTTAAATGATTTATC